TTCGAAACATTTCACGCAATTTATATGCTTAATAAAGTATATCAAAATACTGTTTTAGATCACGCACGCCGCACTACACATTTAACTGTTGTTGTTTTTTAACTGTTTGAAGAAATGAAATACACATTAATGTCAAATTCGATGACGAGGAAACCACTTTGAGACTAATAATGGTTGGAGACGGCTTGAATGGGTGATGAATAAAAACTTTAATATAAGTTTAACATAACAGCAAATGTACAACGTTTCGACCTGATGATGACAAAACCTTATATTAAAGTTTTTATTCATCACCCATTCAAGCCGTCTCCAACCATTATTACACATCCACTTCGTCTACTTCCTAGGCCTCACACCGTCTAAGAAACAATTGTTTTAACAGGGTATCTAGATACAAACAACTGTCACTACTAACACGTAGAATCGACCACACAACAGAATACTCTTTGGTGAAACAGATTTACTTATGCAAACCTAAAACTTGGAGCGTAAATTAAGTATGATACTTTAAACCTTATTGAACACCCCAAGTTTCGGGCAGAGACATCCTTAATTCAGAACTGTTGACCAGGAATAGAGCAATTAGTCAGCAGCCGCTTACGTGGCTACTGTTTACCAAACAGCCAGATTGTTGAACATTTATAGAGCCCCCACGCAGATAATTTGTTTGTTTCAGAATTTTTGTGCCTAGTTATTTTTCCACAAATGAAAATTCTTAATTTGTTTAGCGAAATACCTTTCTATCTGTAATCCAGCAAGCTAACCATTAGGCCACGCCCACCTCGTCTGTAAAATATCTATCAGAGGAGACAAAAATAAAATATAGGAAATAAAAATGAGGCAATGTTTTAATGAATAATCTGGGATTATAAAGTCCTGAAAGGGAATGGGAAAAAATGTTAAGAGGCTAGCCCTAAATGCTATTACCTTTCTTGAAAATAATACTGTCTTGTTTAAGACCTGCGGGTATTTATCCGAAAGTTTCAAAGGTAAAATTGACCTTTCTATTTTTCGTAAATTTTTTAGATCTTCGTTTATAAATATAATCGATTTTTTAAACACGTTGTTCGAATAATAACTTCAATAATCACCATCTTAAACCCATCTTAAGTCACGTATATAACATTTTTCAGAATATGTTGCTGTTTTCTTAGTTCAAAGGTACACAATGAGCTATCTCTATTTTGTTCACCGCGAATAATCGAACCCTCATTTTTGCGTCGTAAGTCCGTAGACTTACCGCTGACCCACCGGTGGACGAAAATATAGACTTGTTTTTAGATTTAATGAGACTCATTATAATTTTTACATTTTCGATGTTTATAAAATTGATACCTTTATTTTGTGAAAGCATTACTTAAAATATACAAACTATTGTGAAGAAATAAATTTAGTGGAATTTAAGCGTTTTGCTTAAATGATAGAAACCAAACCTGTAATTAATTTACTGGCCACTGTATTTTGAATATCATTATTATAATGATTAGGAATTTTAAACTTAAACAAGCCATTCGCTTCACTGGTTTACCTTGAACTTTAACCTAAGTTTTTAAAGTTGACTTTTTTGTCAACTCAGAAACTTAGTGCTTTTCCAATGTGGCTAAGTCGAATATTTACCGCAGCTTCAAGTGGTTTGGAGATACAGTATAAGGGATAATGATATTGTTCTGTGAGCAGAAGTTGTTAGATATTTACCAATTGTGTTTGTTGGAATATGAATTATATCTGCTTGACTCCACACAGGCAGCTGTGTTGCAGTTGTCATTTAGCATTCTCAGGAGAAACTTCCGGGAATATCAATGTGTATGTGATGACTCTAAGTATGTGATTTCTTTTTGACCTGCAGTGTAATGTTGCTGAAAGCGGAGCTGGAATGTACAAAAGCCAGAACGTAACTGGAACTCGCTCCTAAGCATCGGTGCACCGGCCGAAACCCTATCAATAATTAGTTACAGTATAACTACGTGAATTATAATTTAGACAAACTTGATGAAATG